CCAACTTTCAGTAAAAGCAGAAGAAAACACACAGCAAAATTTAAAGATGTGTTCAGCTGCGCCTTCAGCCGAGTTGTTGGACAAGCAGGTGTGATTCTACACAAACTGACTACTTTTCTAGTCGGCCAGAAAAAAACAATCAGCGCTGCAAAACTGACTGTTTTATCATTTGCAGACGCATAGGTTGTAAGTTTGAATCCAATTCTATTCCAGCCTTCTGATAGAATGAATCAATTAAGACTAAACCCACAGAAATATCTTGCATTATTTGCACGCTGGGAGCACACTGCTGGTGCACAACACACCCCAAACTCCCCAGTCACACTTCCCTCTCTGCCTAGTCTTCAGGGCACACTCCTCCTACATCTGCAGCTACCCTGAAAGACATCGAATAGCCAGTTTCCTACACCTTGAACAATGACCTCACCACCAGTTCTCGCCAGGAAAATGCCACCACCAAACTCTGTCAATAATCATCTACCTTAAGGTTCCAAGTCCTCTCTGCTGTCTTCAAGAACTCACTAAAGCCAATTAAAATCCACAGTGTCCCCTTTAAATGGACAGCGCTGCTTCCTCAAAACCTATGACCTGATAAACAACGCAAGGTTTTGTTTTGTTCATTAAAATGCCAGTGTTCCAACACCTTGCCTCTCATGGGGAGAGATGCCTTGTGCCCATGCCTGCACTGATGCCCCCCAATCACAGGCCCCCCAGGAAAGGACCCGGGGTGGACCCCAGCTCCCCCGCCCAGTGCCTGCCCCGAGCCACCTGGCAACGAAGATGAAGGAGTAAAGTTACACTCTCCCGAGTTTCCAAGGTGAACCGGGAACACTCGATTCTGTGCTACCCCGACAAAGCAAAACAAAACAAAAAAACCTTCCCACTTGCCAAATCTGATACCAAAAGTTACCCAGCTCTTGGAACTAAGCTTCTACACAAAGTGCATTAGTGGGAATCTTAACAGAAAACCCATTATGTTCACACTGTTACTAAAACTTCTGAAAAGTTCTTCACTTCAGAAAAAGACCTTCATTTTAATACTGATACTGCTAGGGGAAATTAAGCACTATTACAATTCCTCCCTGGAGGCAAAGGAACCAAAGACTCAAACATCTTGCTCCTCCTGTAGACCACCAAACAGCACAGGGCCACACATCCGAACAGCAGAAGGCCCCCCAGTTAAAGCCCCCAAAAGCATGAAGTCCCAGTCTGGCACAGTGTGTGAACAAACAACTGAAAGTTTAAAAGGGTCTGCTGTTCTTGTAGTGCTTCCTGTACTGAGAGCCAGCTGTAAAAAATGCATATCCTAATTATACATTCTCACCGTGTCGAGATCTCTTAATACATAAACAAATCATAAACGGGATCAAAGTGCACTTTTAATATAGGCCAGGAATCCGGATGCTGCTTTCCTTAAAGGCTGTTCTCCTATGTAATTTCAAACACTACTTTGCTGCTCTGCTAATTTTCTATGAACAGATCTTCTTTGGTCTGTTTTGTTTTGGTGCTGGAGATTGAACCCAGAGCCTCTGGCAGGCAGCACCCGAGCCCTGGGACAGTCTGAAATTAAATAAAGAGAAAGACAATGGTCTTGGGAGCTTGGGATGCAGCTAGCAATGCAGCAGTGAAAGTGAGCCTTTCTTAAGAGGGTTTGCGTTTGCTTTCGGGAATGGAGGAGACCTTTACGAACTCGTCCTTCCTGTATACTGCCATGGTTTCCAAGGAGTGGGAAGAGAACTACTGCACTCCCAGCACCTCCCTCGAGAAGCGCTCAGATCTCAGATCGGCCCGCTGATGTTTCTGATCTCCTTCGGGCCCATCAGCCTGTGACCCGGCAAGGAAAGGGCAGCGTCACCCCATTTTACACACAGAAAGTGGGTCCCAGGGACCGGGGAGCCGCCCGTGGTCCACGGTGACACCAGAAACCCGGCCTCTCGACTCCACGCGCCGCGCTCGCTTCCTTCTGCGAGGCACTATTTCTGTAAGGTTTCTCTTTCCGGAAAGGAAGCAGAGGGCCACGTGACTTTCATTCACGAAAGCCTGGGAGTTTCCAGCGGCACCTCGCGGTCTTCCGGCAGGAGGGGGCTGCGGCAGGCAGAGAAAGGAGCCTCCCTGGCCTCTTAGAGAGAATTCCTTCAGACTTCAAAGGGCAACATTCGCGAGACCTAACTCATGATGCCACTGCTCCTTCGGAAACACTGTTCTGATCTCACAACTTCTAAATTCAAGATATGAATGGACAGTCCTTTTTATCAAACAGAATTTAAACACAGAGATGCTTTTTGCAGTAATTCCTATCTAATCTGTGTTTCACAGACCAGTAAAGCTAATTTTAGAATAAAGGGAGGGAAACCAAAATAAGTTCTTTTAGGGGAATAAACCAATCCCTAATCCTAGGGAACACGCCAATCTGTAATCTGAATGCAAAAAACTATACGAAGTTAATTTTTAAAAGCAGCTTTGAAACGCAGTGATTTCAACAACGCGTTGGCCGTTCCCCAACAACAAAGCCTACCAGCCTGGTCTATCAGTGGCCTGTTACCCAGGGCGCCCGACTCAGAAATTGGCTGCTGTCGCAACCCCACCCCCACTCCACTGTATTCCACTGTAAACAACTGCCAGGGCAGGCGCTCCGCTGTTAGCACTTATGCAAATGCCAGCTCCACCTCAGTCACCCCAAGTCGCTCTGCTTCCTCCTCACTAATGAGGCTTTCCCCGCACCGCACCGCGCTGCTGATCGCCCCATATGGAAACCCAGACCACTTCTAAAAGCCTGGGCAGGGCTGGAGGCTGCCAGGAAGTGCATTTTCTATTTCATCTTCAAAGAAATGCTTCACAAGTCTGACTCCCATAAATCCCTCTCTCAGAGGACATTATCCACGGTGAACTTTTAATCTACGAGCACCACACAAATCCCCACTTTCGTGTTCAAGTTACACAGAAGTGCATGTCCCTGTGAGTTGCTAGTTCTGGGGAACACAGCACAACAAGCTACCATAACCAACATGGCACCTGCCTCTCCTGTTCCTCCTCTCTGCTCTCGTGCATTTACTAGAAATCCAATGTGGCACATGTCTTTTTTTTTTAACGTGTGGTTTTGGCACAGTTATCTATTATTCTCTAAAATAGGCCCTTTCCTTTTTAGAAGGGTGTTTACCCTGGTACCCACACACTTAGTGAAAACAGCAACCTAAACGACCCTTATCTTTGCTCAGCAACCCTGGAACAAACAAAACTGTTTGGATTTCAGAATCATGAATCCTGCAGGCCAAAAGGAATTGTATACTGGCGGGAAATCTTAACCCAGACAGGCTAAATAAGGTATGTGAACAAACTCAACCTCCTACGGTTCAGAATTCTCACGAGTTACAAGGGCATCTGTCACCTAGGATTCAGAAAGGGAGCTGTGAGGACCTCGCTCCGGGCCACCCCAACCCTGCGGTTCGCCCCGCGCCTCCACGGAGAGCAGGCAGAGGTGTCAGCTCTGAGGTGGTTTTTCTGACTCCAATCAGATTTGGGCAAAAGGTAGCTCCTCATGCTCACACTGGTCCGAGTCCATGTGGGCACACCAACCCTACGCCGTGTCTGTGTGTGCACACGCATTTCCCACCCAACTACTCCTGTGTTTACCCAGTCTGCATCTCCAACAGGGAGCTGATCCTTCAACTCCTTGGCACACTAGCCATTCTGCAGTGTTTAAGGTAACTCCCAGCCAAGGGACCCCTAGCTAAGAGAGTTAGCTTCAAGGAGATACATCACCAAGATGCTAGAGAGCTATCTACTCAAATTCCCTGTGACTTTTCATCTTGTAGTCTAGTTTTAACAAGAAAGGAAATCCCTTTTCCTCAATATACCACAACAACAGGGTATTCGGCCCTAGAGCTCTAACTTCGAATCACGTGAGCGAAGAGTCCGGAGAATTGAGAGACAGAGAATGGATTTAGAGAGCTTCAAACTGCTCTGATTAAAAGGTGGACACAGGGATGCCGAGCCCCCTCAATCAGCATCTTGCAAACCTCGAAGACTGTACCTTGGTCAGCGCCCAGCGCACCCTGCAAGTAACACTACCCAGACAGCGGGGCGGCTCCCACAGCCCACCCCAGCAGACAGATGCTGGCTGTGAACACCGAGCCCCCCACACACACACACACTGCACACAGCCACGCCTCCAGGACCACCGCCAGCCTAACAGCCAGCCCTCCATCCCCTGCACACCTGAGGACGGGGTGACCTGTCCCGGGCACGCTGCAGTCCGCTGTTCTGCAACAGCCCTGGTCTCTCTCTCATTTCCCCTCAAGCCTTACTGAACCCTGGCTGCACACGGAGACCATCAGGCAGCTCTGATGGCTCTGCCCATGGCTGTCCTTCGAGGCTCTGGCTCCTCTGTCTCCCAGGTGCATGTCACCTGGGGTCCCTGATCAGCAGCAGCGGGGTGAGGTGGGGACTTTCTAGCCACAGCCCCGAATCTCCCTGCTGCACCAGAAGCTTGGGGGTTTACCAATCCATGCCCAAGGGGCAGCAGGCCATCCAGGTCACAGTGGGCATGCCTCGGTGCCAAGCACAGCTAGGGCACCCATTTAAGAGGGCTTTGCTGGGAGAGCTCCCGCAGGTGTGTGCACACCTGAAGCGGTGGCCTGTGTCCACTTCGCTCAGCAGCCACCACCACCACCGACGAGAACTCTCTAGAGGACTCTCTGGGCCCCTCCAGCAGCCAACCGCCCAGGCCTCACTGTGTTCTGCCACCTGCCTCAGGCCCGGGGGACCTGGGAGAACTTCCACGCTGCCAACAGACAGGAAGAAATGGACAGGGATGCAAAACACAGGTGGGCAAATAAGCAAAGGCCACCCACCTGCCCTGACACTCTCTTTGGGGAAAGATGGGCACATGGCGCCCGGAGTGACCAACGCCAGCATGTCGGCGTCTGGGTCACAGCACAGCACCCACAGGAAAGGCTGCCCGCTGCCCCTGCTGGCCAGACACTGAAGGCCAGCAGCCTCACCTTTCACGGCCGTGGCTTCCTTCAGGTGATGGGACAGGAAGTCCAGGCTGGCGTAGCTGTTGGGGGAGGACAGGGCGGCAGGGCCTGGGCCCCCACAAGCCCCACTGCTGCCGCTGCCCCCTACCGCGCTGAGGAGGCCCCCCAGGCTCCGGGTCCGGCCCCACGAGGTCTTGTCCCCTGGCTGCGGGGGCGGCATCTGCGGGGACAGCCCTGCCTCCTCCTTCACGTTGATGGCGATGTAGCTGAGGCCTTTCGGAAAAGCCACGGGGGCTTCTCTGCGCATGGGGGAGCCGCCGCCCGCCGGGCAGCCACCCAGGCCCCCGGGCTGACCGGAGGCCCTGGGCCGCGCCAACGTCGAGTGTCCTGGGGCGGTGAGCGGCTCCTCAGCCCCACCGCCACCACTCTCACTGCTCTTCCGGAGAGAAACGTTCTCCACAGAGGCCGAGCTGTGGCGCTTGGGGTTGTGAGCGAAGGATGGGGACACGGGGGTGACCGTGGCAGTGGAGGAGAAAGTCTCCGAGCTGTGGCGGCGGCGGCCCCCCTGCGGGTCTGCGCGGATGACCTTGGCGCCCCGGTGCGGGTCGGGGGGCTGGCCAGCCTGCAGGAAGGCCTCCAGCCCCGACCCCTGACCCCTGAGGCTCAGCCGCTTCAGGCCCGCCGTGGGGCTGCTCACTCGGGCACCTTCCGGCTTCGGGGGCGCCGCCAGGCCGAAGGCCATCTCGGCGTAGTCGCTGCTGTCAGCAGTCTGGGAGGACACCGAGGCACCAGCGCTGGGGCCCTGGGAGGCAGGGGCCGCACTGGGTGCGGGAGGCAGGCGGTACAGCTCCCCGGGGACCGGCGGTGGGGGCTGCTGCTGCAGGGAGGACAGGGAGGCCGCAGGACGAGGGGGCAGCGGCGGGTATGGGGAAGCGGCCTCGGGGGACAGGACCCCCGGCTTGGGGGACTTGGGGGAGCTGAAGCCCAGGTTCATGTAGTCGGACAGCGGGGAGCGCTGTCTGCTGTCACTGCTGGTGCCCGGCGTGCCTGAGCCCAGGGAGAGGGAGGAGGCCGGGCTGCTGGCAGACAGCAGCGGGGAGGGTGAGGCCGCAGACGCCAGCAGCGAAGGGGCCGGCGGGGACAGCCGGGGGCCCGCCTCCCCGAAGTCAATGTTGATGTACTCGCCAGGGCTCCTGGGCTCTGGGGGCAGGGGGTACTCATGCATGCTGGGCAGCGTCTGCAAGCCCTCTAGGGACAGGCGTGTGGGGCGCACTGCCCGGCAGCGCTGGCCAAAGAAGCCCTCAGGGCGCCCACCAGCGTTGCTGCCTGGCCTCATGGGGGCAGGCACTGCTGCTGCTAGGTGATGCGGCTGGATGTGGCTGTCCCTGCCCGTCCATGGGGGAGCCCCTGGGGTGGCCGGGGACTCCAGTCCCTCCTCCTCCAGGATCCGGCCCACCGGGGAGCTCATGAGCACGTACTGGTCACTGTCTGCCCCGCCACACAGGTAAGGACCCTTGTAGGAGCGGGGCAAGGAGCTGTAGCAGCAGCCGGGGACACTTCTGAGCCCCTCCCCAGCGCCCTGCAGAGCTGCGGAGAAGAAGTCGGGCGGGGTGCCGGCCGGGCCCGCCTCGCTGGGGGACATGTTGAGGTAGTCCCCGCTGGCCAGCAGCTTGGGGTCGGCGCTCTCCACAGACAGCTTGGACCCACACCACATGCGCATGTACCCGCTGTCCTCTGGAGAGCTCTCCGCAGGTGAGCCGGCCTTGTAGCCTCCCACAGGCCCGGGGAAGGTCTTGCCCGCTGGGGAGGGGGCAGCTGGCACCGGTGGCGCCGAGGGGGGCAGGGCCGCGGCCGGTGCAGCCCTCGGATGCAGGATCTGCTTCGGGGCAGACACGCTGGTGGGGCTCATGGGCATGTAGTCGTCGCTGGCACTGCCCAGCAGAGCTGCACCAGGGGTCATCGGCATGTAGCCATCGTCCGCCCCCAGGTTGCTGCTGGAGCTCCGGTGTGAGCCGATCTCGATGTCCCCATAGTCCTCCGGATAGGGGTGGTAGGCCACTTTGGGCGAAGACGCAGGAAAGGGCGGGCACAGGCGGCCGGAGCTGCCCGAGAAGGTGGCCCGCATGAGCGTGTACTCATCCAGCGAGGCGGACGACGGCTGGGGCACGGGGCGCTGGCGCGCGGGCGTGGTCAGCGAGTAGGTCCGCTTTCGCAGGCCCCGGTCCAGGTCCTGCGCCGCGTCCCCCGAGACCCTGCGGTAGGGGCGTCCCAAGGGGCCCGAGGGCCTGTCCATGCTCATGTACCCGTACAGCTCGCCCACCGCGCCATCCCGCGCCGGGGGCGTCTCCGCGATGGACTCGGGCGTGTTGCTGCGGTGGCTGCTGCAGAAGGCTCGCAGGTCGCCCGGGCTAGACCCGTACTCGTCCAGGGACATGAAGCCCGGGTCGCTCGGAGAGCCCGAGGCCGAGGCGCTGCCGCTGGAGGGTCGCTGTCCCAGCGGGTGGGGCAGGGGGTGCGGCAGCGGCGGGGCCGGGCCGGGCGGCAGCGGGTAGGAGGCCGAGCCGTGGCCGCTGCTGGACGACAGACTGCCCGGGCTGGTGGCAGCAGGGGGAGAGTGCGCCACAGGCATGGACATGGAGCGGCTGTGCTGCAGCGCGCCCCCTGCCGGAGCCAGGCCCGCCTTGCCGCCCCGGGCCCCGCAGCCGGCGCTCAGCGTGTGCGAGCGGCTCAGGGGCGCGCGCGCCGGTCCGGGGCTCAGGGGGCTCCCGGCCACCGAGCCTGGACGCGCGCCCGCCGCAGACACCGCCGCCCCGGCCCCGGCCCCGGCCGCGGCGCCGCCGTCGCCCTCGCTGGCCGTACGCACGCGACACGGGGCGCCCTTGGCGGCGGGCGGGGTTGCGGCCAGGCTGTCGGTGCGCGAGCGGCGCACCAGGCCGGTCTGGCTCGGGGGCAGGTGCACCAGGTGGTGGTGGCGGCGCGCGCCGGGCACACTGATGGGGTGAGTGGCCGACGAGCCCGAGGACTGGCTCTTGCTGCGCGGGCGGAACTCGAAGAGCTCCTTGAGCGCCTTCATGGCCTCCAGGATGGTCTCGTGGATGTTCTGCGCCACCACCGAGTCGTCGGCCTGCATCCACAGCTCGCCGGGGCCCGTGACGGCCGAGCGCCCCACCTCTATGAAGAAGAAGCTGTCCGAGTGGCCGCAGCGGCGGATGTTCATGAGCTGCAGCGTCACGGACGGCTGCTCGCAGTTGAGCTTCACGAAGCCGATGGTGCGCGCCGACAGGCACAGGCGGTACACGCCCGTCAGGTTCTTGCTCTGGCCCAGGCCCTTGGGCTTCAGGTTCACCTGCCACACCTCGCGGTAGGCGGAGGCCGAGGACGCCCCCGGCCCGTCCGCGTCCTCGGCCGAGCCGCCCAGCGCCCCCGGCAGGGGGGCGCTGCAGGGTGTGGCGGCGGGGGCCGTGGCCACAGGGGGCGCGTCGCCGGCGGCGGCCGCGCGGCCCTCGCTGAGCAGGTCGGCGAGCGCGCGGTACCAGCCCTCCTGCTCCTGCTCGTTCTCGGCCGCCACAGCGAAGTACTCGTCCTTGGTGTAGAGGGCGATCAGGTACTTGTGCTTGGCGTCGGCGCGCTTGTTGACATTCAGGCAGCAGTCGAGCGCGATCACCCGCTTCGGCGCGCCCGCCTTGCTCCGCCACTTCTTCTCGCTCTCGTAGTACTCGAGCCGCGGGGGCTGCGGCGCCGCCGGCCCCCCGCCCGCGCCCCCGTCGTCCCCGCCCGCGCCGGGCCCGCGCAGCACGAAGAAGCGCTTGTGGCCGTGCTTCTGCTTGCGCAGGTAGCCGCACTTGCGCACGCCGTGGTTGTTGTTGTTGTTGTTGTTGTTGTTATTCAGGTTGGGGCCGTCACCGCCCGCTGGCCCAGGGGCTCCCTGCCGCGGCGGGCTCGCCATCGCGGGCGCTCCTGCCGCCTCAGCCGCCCGGGGACCTGGAACGGTGCGGCGGGGCCAGGGAGGGCGGCGGGGCGCGGGCGCGGGCGGCTCTGCACCCCCGATCGCCCGGCCGGCCGTGCGAGCTCGTGTCCGCGGGGCACGGGAGGCAGCAGAGGTCGGCGGAGGAGGAGGCCGGCTCGGCTGGGCTCGGCGGCGCAGCGCCCGCGGTCTGGTCCGGAGGATGCCCAGCGCGCGTGGCCGCCCCCGGCCGGGCTGTCGGCTGCGGCCGCTTGCGGGGCTCTCGGGAGGCGCCGGGGACTCGGTGGAGGCGCGGAGAGCCGGGGTCCCCGAGCCGCGCGGGGCCGAGCCTAGGGCGCGCGCGGCCGCACTGATGTCGCCGCCGCCACCGCTGCCGCCGCGCTGAGCTCCTGGAAGCCGGGGTGCGCCCAGGCGCCGGGGGTCCGCGCCGCCAACGCCGGGGCTTCTGCAGCTGCCGCCGCCAACGGCGACCCGAGCTCGTCGCGGTCCCCGCCGCACAGTGAGTAACACATCGCGCACCGAGTGACTGAACTAAGAAGAGCAAAACAACATGTGACTCGGCGTTACGCAGGCACACACGGCGCGGACGCCCCGCCCCTCCGCGCGCATTGGCGCCGCGCCCCCCGACGGACGGCGCGCGCGGCCAATGGGAGCCGGGCTGGGGGGCGGGGCCCGCGTGCCCGACGCGCCCCCCTT